GTGACTCGCGTGGATTTGGCATCGGACGGCGGGGAATGCGAAGAGCCACCGGCGGAGAAGGGAATAGCGGCCGGACCGCTTCACCCGCCCTCAATGCATTGGCTTTCTTGACAGAACGTACCGGTGCTGATCGGACGTCTCGGGCGACTGGACAAGACACTGATTCTGTCTCTGCCGAAGAAGGAGCAGGTAGCCCAGCTGCTCCTCGATCGAGCTCGAGGCGCAATCGAATTGACGATCTTGAGGAAATGATGATGATGGAAGCTATCCGACTGAGCTTGGCCAGCGAAGACGAGCGCCTCAGACGGGAAGAGAAAGAGGCAAGAAAGGATGCTAAAAGGAGGGAGAAGGAGAAGGAGAGAGAGGCCAAGAAGGCGGATAAGGTGGCTCGCAAGACTGGCTTGTACAGCAATAATGCTAGCGCCACTGCTGTGGACGTCCCAGGTGAGTCCAATCTAGGCAAAGGGACTAGTAGCCCATCCTCTGTCATAGGCGAAGATATCATTGGTGAAGAAATCACTGCTGGCAGCAAAGGCAAGGGAGTTGACCGTGCCCTGTCGTCAACTGCAGAAGAAATAAACCCCTTCACGCTGCTTGATCCAGTAGCACCAGCAAGCCAATCGGCGGATCAGTCCGAGGCGTCCCGACCATCTCACCTACGACAGGTCTCCAGCGCCTCTTCGTCTTTCTCTTCTGTTATGGAAACCACCCCAGAAGATGGCACAGGCGGTCCCGCTGCTGGAGAGGGCCACACTAGTTCTCTTGAGCCAATGTTCAATTTCCGCAGTCTAGCTTCCGTGATTGGAGACGAAGAGAAAGTGGATGACTCTGCAGAACATGTTGAGGATGCCTCTAACAAGCCACGGACAGAGGGCTCTTCCTCGAGTGCCACACCGTCTGTCCACCAGCCTTTCATGGAGGTGAATCCTGAATCGGCGCCTATCGTTGAGTCTCGTGCGGAGTCCCATGATGACTCTGGTACCCTTCCAAAGGAACTTGAGACTCGTTCTGTCGAGATCACCAGTCCCCCTATGCATCCAGAGCCTACTTCGTGAAACTCTTTCTTTCTTTTTTTTTCCAGTTTGGCTTTCTTTGTTTGGTATCTAGATACAATCCGGACCGCATGGCATGTGTGGATTAGCCGGCGCAGGGGATTGGTACTGGTGAAGGCATCTCTGCTTATCTTTTCCTATGCTCATTGTGTTTTGTTTTCCTTTTCTGCCACATTTGGCATTCCATATCCTCATTTCTTATGTTCTGGTCAAGGATAGAGATTCTTTGTGTTTAACATTCAGATCAGTGAATAGTGAGATTTCTGATTTTTTCCTTCAACATATCCATGTAAGGAGTATGTCCACCGGTAGGCACATATAGATACATACAACGATGACAGCTATGTATATAGGTACAACCTTGAATAGTCGGTCCATTATGCAGCTTTGTCCGTCGTGACATATTTTAGTAACATGATGTGATATTCAATTAATTTTCTGTAATGTCATTTATATATCTTTTTTCTTGCATCTGGATGATTCCCCTTCTCATTAGTATTGAGATATGCGGCTGATCTGCGGGTCCAACTCAAATGATTGTGTGGCCTATGATTGGTCGAGAGGGATTTAAGAAAGCAGTGGGGAAGACATCAATGTTTATTTCAGGTTACATCTTACTATGTAGTTACTATGTACTACTATGTAACTATATACATGTATGTATATATATATTATATCATATTATTAACTTGATGCCTAATTATTATTGGATATCCAATATTCTAGACCAATACGAGATACCCGAACAACATACGGTTCGCCACCTGAAAAATTTTAACATCAACAAAGGAAAAAGGTATAAAACTACATGTATATGCAAGATTCTCAAAGTTGATATATATAGATCCATATATAATCTATATGGCTATTTATAAAATATCAAGAATCCTCAATTGCTTTAGGTAGGGATCAGTGTCAAGTTTTGTCCGTTCTCGGCCGTGGAAAATTAAGTCTATTTCCAAGGTCCTTCCTCCAGCCTTTCAACTTCTCTCTTTGTTCAACATTGATCTTCGGGTTGTTTTCTAAACATATGAACTAATCATCCTGGGATCAAAAAAAGAAAAACAAGAAAACAGAAAGCATACCTCCCGCCTCGCTCATAAGGTACGGTCAGCACAGTGGATAACAAGATCAACTCGACAACCGGGTCGACTGCCGTAAGGTCTTAGCTACTTCTGAGGAACTATGACATTGACACCACAGGCAAGATCACATCCGTCGCCCGACAGCTTTCCCACGGCACAGCTTTTCCTCCTAGGTATGCCATGCCCCGGGTTTGTACGGAGTACTTGACAATGACTAACACAAGAAAACAGCAATATGCCGGGTTGCAGAGCCCATCGCGTTGACTTCCATCTTCCCTTATTCATGGGTGATGGTCAGGGACTTCCACATGGATAATGGCAACCATGCCTCCTTCTACGCCGGTATTCTGATTTCGGCATTCTCGCTCGCAGAGGCTCTGACCGGTATGTTCTGGGGTGCTCTTTCAGACCGCCTGGGCCGTAAGCCTATCCTTATATCTGGCTGCGTCGGAACTATGGCCTCTTTGCTCTTGGTGGGCATGGCCCCAAACTTCTGGGTCGCGCTCGCCGGTCGAGCTCTTGGTGGAGCCCTGAATGGGAATATTGGAGTGATTCAAACAATGGTTGGTGAGCTTGTTAAGCGACCTGAACATGAACGTGAGTTTACCGCCATTCTGTCATATCTAGCTGAGTTGGAGATTAATCTTGTATCCAGCTCGAGCATATGCCATCATGCCTTTTGTTTGGTCAATTGGAACGATTATCGGTCCAGGTATGTATAGTCTTCCCATAATAGAATTATACCGCAAACGCTAATCCCATTCAGCCATTGGAGGGCTGCTAGCAAAGCCCACTGAAGGATTTCCCTCCCTGTTTCCAGCCGATGGCCTCTTTGGCAAATTCCCCTACCTTTTGCCAAACCTCGTTTGTTGTGTCTTACTTCTCCTTAGTATTGTCGGTAGCTGGCTGTTCCTGCAAGAGAGTCATCCAAATATGCAATCCGGCAAGGTCCATGGACATTTCGACCAGGCAGCTGAGCAGCCGCTTCTGATTACATCTGGTACAACTGTCAATGCTGGCGTAGACCTGCGAGCGGAGTCTTACGGGACCTTTAATCGGGTTCATTTGCACAACGATGAGAATTGGAATGTTCAAGTCGATGGTTCCTCGCCCACGTGGAAGAAGTTGCCAAAGCCCAAAACTTTCACTTGGCGAGTCACCATGCTGGTAGTTGCGTTGGCTATCTTTACTTATCACTCGATGACATATGACCATCTCTTGCCCATCTTCTTGCAGGACAAGGACCCCCGAGGGCTACCACATTCGCATTACTCGCCCTTTGACATCCCGGGCGGAGTCGGTCTTTCGACTCGAGCTGTGGGCGTGATCATGTCCACCGATGGCATCATCGCCCTCGTGATCCAAAGCATGATTTTCCCCGTGCTGGCACATTACCTGGGAATCTGGCGCCTCTTCATCATCGTTACCGTGCTCCATCCAATCGCATACCTCATGGTCCCCTTCCTGGTCTTCTTGCCAGCCCAACTCATGTATGTTGGTATTTACATTTGTTTGATTATTCGCAATATCCTATCTATTGTCGACTATCCTATCCTCTTGATCCTTATCAAGCAAGCTAGCCCCTCAGACTCCGTCATGGGCAAAATCAATGGTCTCGCTGCGTCCGCTGGAGCTGCATCTCGAACTCTCGCCCCTCCGATTGCTGGCTTTCTTTACAGCTTTGGGGCTGAGATTGGCTGCACTGGTGTTGCCTGGTGGGGGAGTAGTCTCGTTGCGTTAGTCGGCGCTTTACAGTTGTGGTATGTCCAGCGCGCCAAGCATTCATCAATAACCGTGGAGCCGGCGGCTGTTTGTCATTATGTTGCTCTTCCAGATCAGCCGCACGAGGAAATCGCTCACATCATTGTCGATAAAGATGATGCGCTCACAGAAGCGGTAATAATGTCGGATTAAGAAGAAGGAAGAAGCGTCGACTGGATTTGGTTTTCTCTATGGTTTTAATGTCATAGAATCATGAATTTCATAATACCAACAAAGTCATTGTTCTAATCAGAATACCGAGAAGCAAAAACCTATGTTAAAAAACACATGTGAAAACACATCTAAAGTACGTATAGAAAGACATCAGTGAGATCTTGAATATACCATTCCTAATTTTAGCAAATAAATCAGCTTAAAGTCCTACATTGTCAAGGACAGACTATTCTGTTATATAACTAACTAGTTAACTAACTAACTAGTTAGTTAACGTAGTTCACATGCGAGTGGATCACACAAGCGAATGGATCACCGCAGAACACCATAGTTAAGGCGATAAATTACAATACTATATCCCAACAACAGATGCTTAGATAAATTCTGGAATTCGAGGGTATATTTAAGATACTTAGTATAGCACTTTGACAAAGTTTAGAGGAAATTTATAATAAAATATGAAAAATATATATGTTTACAGCTGAGATAGCTTAATTACAACGTAATTTATGGTATCGCCATTATTAAGCCTTTCAATTCACTTCAAAACTCTGCAGGCTATATAAGATGGTTATCGATCCATGGAAAAAAAATTAATTCAGATTCAAGTTGTGGTTGTCAAAATATATAGATATCAAAAAAAAGCCTTAACTATGGTGTTCTGCGGTGATCCATTCGCTTGTGTGATCCACTCGCTTGTGAAATACGTTAACTAGTCCTAGAGACTCCGATTAGATAGTTTGGATGCACCTTTCCAAATTGGGCCTAGTTTTGTTTACCAAGCAACGTCAACACGGCAACTCTTTTGTATACACAAACTCTGCCTTGCTCTGCTTTCCTTTTGTTCAATCGAACTGGTTCTCAAAACAGACCAGAGGGGACTTCTTACGACTAACCCTTTCCCTCTTTATCATCTCCTGCTTCCATTATGTCAAATCCGCTCTCACCCCTCTCATCCTCCTACCAGAACGCGCGCGCACAATCTCAAATGGCGAATTCTTCGCCCTTCATTCACAAGACCCTTGACCAACCCTCAGAGCAAGTTCCCTCGAGCCCATTGAAGAGCGGATGGACAAGTCACGCTGCCCCAAGTCCGAATGCCCATGATGAAAACGAAATCTACCATCCTAACGAACCCGAGAACGAAAATGAACACGATTCCAATGATGCCGAGTCATATCAACAAGGTGCCAGCTCACCATTCCAGCTTGATGGACGCGAAGACACCGTGGATTTCCAGAAGCTGCGCGAAATGCGACAGACCTCGTCCCAATCACACCCACAACTTGAACCGCTAAAGGAGGAGAGCCCTGTAAGCTCTCCATTCCGTTCATATGCAACAGATGGGACAGTTGATTTTCGAGGATTGCGTGAGGTGCAGCCCATGTCACCAGGCTTAGACAAGCGGCTGGCTCTAGGGGAGCCAATGAGCTCCCCTTTCCGTCCTAACGCCAGTGAAGATACAGTTGATTTCCAAAATATGCACGAAGAGCAACAGTCTTCTCCTCTGCCAGGCCCACAAGTTCAACCATTGGAGGAGGAGAGCCCGGGAAGTTCCCCGTTCCGGTCTCATATCCGAGAAGAGACAGTGGGTTTTCAAAAATTGCGCGAGGTCCAGCCTATGTCTCCTGGATTAGGAAGGCGGCTAGCTCTAGAGGAGCCTGCGAGCTCCCCATTCCGCCCTGATGCGCTGGAAGAGACAGTCGACTTTGATCGCTTACGCGAGATACAGAATGACTCGCCTATTCTTAAAGCGCGACCATTGCCCGATCCCGCTAGTTCGCCTTTCCGCTATGAGGCAAGAAACGCGACAGCCGATCCATCGGAACTACATGAGATGCAACAAGATTCGCCAATGGCGTCTGAGTTTTCCTCGCCTGTCGTGACACTGGATTCACCCATCCCTAACGCACCAGAGACCGCTGATTCACCCAAGTTACACGAGTTGAAGCAAGACTCACCATTGGCATCCAAACGCTCATCCTTTGCTAAAGAATCAAGCTTGCCCATTCGAGATGAAGCACCAGAGGCAGTTGATCCTCCCAAGATACATGCGCATGCAGAGTCACCGGTAACATCCAGCTCCTCTTCTCCTATTCCAGTACCTACTTCGTCCTTCCGATTGAGTCCCAAGGAAAACGCCCTTGATCTTCATAAGTCGCGCCGGGTTTCTCGTGCGTCACTTAGGCTGAGTGACCAGCGCTCTGTTGCAGCAACTCCCCGCAAAAGATCTTACGACCAAACGCCCCAGAATCTGGAGGACGACTTGGAGGTAAACGAGCGCCATAAGAAGGGTATGGTGAGCCGACCAGATGCACCAGCGATTCACATCGATGCCGAAGAGGAGCCCGGTGTACTTCATGACCAGAGCGTTCTTTCCGCTACAAGTGTCGTGCACGACCGATCAGCAATTGGCAACAGCATGATAGAGGATAGGCACAATGAAGGGATGAGCACAGTACTCCATGGAGACGGCGACAAAGAGAATATTTCACATGAGAATTCGATGGTCGACGACTCAATGGATGACACTTGCTTGAGCACGTTCTCCGCCATGCCTGATATGACTACATTTGCGAAACTCCGCGCCCAGTCGCCGATGAAGTCAATGCGAGGCAGTGTCGCCCCCAGCCCAGCTCCTAATATGGACGGGCGTCGACACAGTGTCGATCCTGCCACCCCAGGCGCAGGACGCAGGGCACACAGAGCGAGCGCCTATCTGGATGCAAATTCGCTTATGGGATCACCTACGCCGAGACCCAGAGGCCCTCGGGACATGGCTCATCCAGTCGACTCTGCCGGTCTGCCTGATTTCACCGATCAAATGAACTTCTTCCCTCGTCAATCCATGCAGAGTGCCCGCTTCTCCCCCTCGCGGCGTTCGCCTATGCGGTCGGCCCGGCAATCTATTCGATCTCCCGGGAAGATGTCGTCACTGTTGGACTTCGACATTCCGGCTGCGCCTACCCCTCGATCCATTCCCACGGTCACTCCCCGTGAATTGGAGTCACTGAAGTCCGGCTTCTTGTCTGATATATCTTCGCTCAAAGCCACTCTCAGCGGCAAAGAGGCTGAGGTTGCTAGCTTAAAACAAGCTGTGGCAGACGCCGAGAGACGTGTCGGCGAAGCTCTGGAAGAAGTACGCAACGAAGCCGCCGGCAAAGAGGTGCTGGAGATGGAACAGGCCGAGTGGGAACGTCGAGTCACTGAGATGGAAACTGTCCTGCGGTCTGCCCGCTCCGAATTAGTGGAGGGGGAACGTGAGCGTGACCGCCTGTCTCGAAAGGCCGAAGAGGCCGAAAAAAGCAAGGAGAAATTGGAAGGCAAAGTGGTCGAGCTCGAAAGCCAGCTTTCCGCTGCACGCGCTGCGACTGTATCTAGCACTAGTAAAGCTAGCTCATCTCACCAGTCTTCCAACTCGGCCGAAGACACTGCTCGTGAAGTTCAGGACGCCGTTGAAAAGGTCGCTCGCGAGCTTCACGTGCTCTACAAGGGCAAGCATGAGACCAAGGTTGCGGCCTTGAAAAAGAGCTACGAGTCTCGCTGGGAGAAACGTCTACGTGAGGCGGAGAAGAAGCTTACTGCCGCACGCGAGGAAAATGAACATCTCCGTGTCGAACGTGATACTGCGCAATCCGATCTAATGGCCGCGCCTAACACCGGTCTCTTCACTCGCGAGAATGAGGAGCACGAGGCCGAGAGGCGTGTCATGGAGGCCCAGATCCAGAGACTGCAGCGAGAAATGGCTGCTCTGAAGGATGATACCGAGCGAATTCGTGCCAACCTGGAGTCTGAACGCGCCGAGAAGGGCGAGCTTGTTGCCGCGGTTGACGAGTGGCTAGCTATGCAGCAGGCGCCCGTCCCATCTCAGCCTCGAGACCGCGAGCCCTCTGTGGCATCTTCTGTGCACAACGACTCCATTGACGAGCCAGCTCAACCGTCTCGCGAAGTCACCCCGGATGACTTCCGTCGCAGTGTCAGTCGTTCCGTGTCTGGAAGCATCCGTCCCCCTGCCACGGAAAAGAGAATTCCTAAATTCGGTGCCCCCGGCGGTCATTCTCGCGGTAATAGCGGTGGCCGATCTGGCATTGCAATGCCTACTCCCGGCCGAGGCGGGATCATGAGTTCAATTGAGAGGATGGGCCGCGGTGGTGTTTAGGTTTTATGGATTTGAATTGGATTCTCCTCTTTCTGATTTTTGTTTTGTTTCTTTTTTTTTTCCTTTTGTGGGTCATTCCCCTCTTTGATTCCCCGGCAGATGTTTTACGGTTTTATCTCAATTTGGTTCATGATGTTTATGTCTACTTTTCTCGGCGTCTGCCATGATTGGTCCACGCAGGGGGAGTTGGTTGGAATTGGATCACTGAATAGTGAAATGAAATGATGTAACGATTCCATGGGTCTATTGTATATCTTTCAAGATCCTAGGCAGTGAGTAAGCGGCTGTCCACGGGTGTCGTTAGGGGGCATCAGTGAGTGGGATCTTGGATGCAAAGTCAGCTCTATACAATCGAAATTCCCTACGCTCACCCTAACGCCAGTACATGCTCCCCAATCCGAAGGATATATATATATATATATATATATATATGCCCAGCAATCTGCATCGAAACACGGCCAGTTTATACATGAACAGCTGAGACATTGGGGGATGGAGATAATGGAACGGCGATCTATAGATGGGCTATGAGGCCGAAGGGTTCTTTGTCACGTGGATCACTTTCATGTTTGGAAGAGAAATGCGGGTCTGTGGTTTACTAACTGTAGGACGTTTGACGTTTCACTAAGGAACATGTGCGGGACTTTCAATACGATATAGAACCTACGTAGAAAAGGGCTTCCCCAGGAATGACTCTAATTAGACTTCCCGTGTAGTATACCTATACGGAGTATACATGTACACCATGTAATAGTTTCTCATATTCCCCCGCATCTGGACGCCACCCTTCCCCATATAAGCTGACGTGCCTTTTACCTTCCCCACTAGGAAAACGTGGGGGGGCAATGCCGGTCTTACCGTCTCTAGTGACGATATGAGGCATTTAACCTGTGACAGACTCCACAACTTTGCGAGTCTAGCAATATAATGTCCATTTCCCAAAAAGATTTGAATCGGCATTTCGCCTCTAGCAAATTAAGATCAGATTAAGATCAGATTTAGATATCTCTTGAGTGTATTTGGAAACGGCTCTTCGGATAGCATCGGCGAATGTATCGCATAAGCTTTCTGGACTTGGGAATGGACCCCATATTCATTTTTACGGAATATGCCGGGGATAGAATGTACGGAGTAAAGGGGAATACATCTAGTGACATTTGCCATGTTCGTGATTGGTGTCCTACTACGGAGTAGATCCGCTCTCGACCTCGTGAGAGGCAGAATTCTCCATTTCTTTGGCCATTGGGCTTGGACTTCTAATTCCTTTGAGCGGAGTATGGCGTCATGCCCTGAACACAAGGTGCGGAGTTCTCCGTACATGCATGTACAATATAAAATTAATAATGCGTTATTCCGGAAACCGGCACTTTTATGTCCACGTGATGATTGAACTCGGCAGGCCGGGTGAAACACGGATATAGATTCATAGCCCGTTTCAGGGGGCATTCCGGTCATGATTCCGAGGCTTACGGAATGTGTATTAGTATACAGTCAAGTCTTTTTTCTACTATATAGTTACAGAGAGTCTGTGTACAATTTAATTGTCTCAAGGTCCACTGTGGCCCTGGAGGCCTAGACACGGATGATAAACGTAAAGCTGTGCCAAAATGGAGCCGGGGCTATTACCTACGAGGTGATATTACAAATTAAAATCCTATATAGTTTCAGATATCGGAGTATAGCACTATGTATATAGTCCATATATATCGAGAACAGTCTGAAAACGCAGAAGAATGTATTACTCATCGGTCCAGACGTTTCCAAGGTTCCTCAAAAAATAAAAAGCCAAACCCCATGGGCTCCGCTTGTCGGAAACTGGAGAACTCTCCAGTCTTGGCTGAAATAGTCCGGGACAGTCGGGGGAATGTGGGAAAATCCTGAAAACTCCCCTTTCACACGACCCACAAGAATCTTCGCCTTTTTTTTATTATTAACTTCGGTGTTTCTCGGAGGCCCACCTAAGGGGGAAACAAGGGATAAGAGGGAGGAGATGAGCCCGAAATCACATATATATTAGTATGGAGTACATGTGTATATATATTGTAACATAGAGATAGAGAAAGGTATGACTTTCACATGGAGTCCTTTCCATGTAACGTGACCGGGCCGAGGGATGGTAGTGAACTCCCGAAGGTTTAGTGGCATATTACTTAATTGAGTAATATTTGGTGTACGGTAATATTCCAGTACTGTAGAATACTGGGGCAGTAATTTATCTATTTTCCCCTCAAACCTTGGCTGTTTGCGGGTTAAACCATGGAAAGGAAAACTGTGGGAACCTGGGGCAAACCTTGGATTAAATAAAAAAAAAGGGTTCCCTCTATTTCAGCGTTTTGTCCTTTTCCCTTTCCTCTTCTTTCCATTTCACATGCATACATTTTTCCCTTTATCACATGCTCATTGTCTCTATATAACTCGAATGTCCCCTATTCAATAACACAACATGACTGATACCGAATCTGGGAAACGAAAGGCCTCCACGGCCGGGCTCTCCCATAACCGTCCCGTGAAGAGACGCGCCTCAAAAGCCTGCTGCTGTTGCCGTGCCCGTAAAGTGCGCTGTGATGTGGTTGAGAATGGCTCTCCATGCACAAACTGCCGTTTAGATCAGGTCGAGTGCGTGGTCACGGAGAGTAAACGCAGAAAGTTCGTGGACTTGAATTAATTCTATATAAACGTCACTGACATGTGATCTAGGAAATCCCGCGTTGAGATAGAGAACCACTCTGAATCTCCAGAGGCCTCGGAGGAGAATCCTTTCCACCGACTCAGTGATCTTTCAGGGTTGGCCGATTTGGTGCCGACCTCTCCCTCGCAGGCCTCGGTGGATCTGGACCAGGGCCAACATATGCCTCATCTGTTATGTTCGTCAATTCCCTCGGAACTCCCAGGCACTACTCATTTGGCTGACAAGAGAAACCAAAAAAAAAACAGATCAAAACCAGGCTCAACGCATTGGCTCCGATGATCACTATCGACGCCGTATGGTCCCGAATCCAGCAGTTCCCGCCTCTATGCCATTAGCCAATGTGACTTCGCAAGTTCAACAATTATTAGATCCCAATTTTGGTAATACACGGTCCGCCAGTGGGTTCCTCCCGGATTACATCCGAGGACTCCCGGCACGACTCCAGAAAGAGGATATTGACTACTTGGCCGTCAAGGGTGCCTTGACCATCCCCGATGTCACACTCCGGAACGAACTATTGAAGAGCTACATCCACTATGTTCACACCTATATGCCCTTACTCGACCTGGAGGAGTTCTTGGAGAATATCGTACAGAACGATGGAATCCACCGCATCAGTCTGCTGCTCTTCCAAGCCGTCATGTTCGCCGGTGTGGCCTTCATTGATATGAAGCATTTGCAGGCTGCCGGCTACCAGACCCGCAAGGTCGCCCGGAAAGTGTTCTTCCAGCGTGCCCGTCTCCTATATGATTTCGACTACGAGGTGGACCGTATATCGCTCGTGCAGTCACTTCTGCTCATGACCTACTGGTACGAGACTCCCGATGACCAAAAAGACACCTGGCACTGGATGGGGGTCAGCTTGTCTTTGGCCCACACAATCGGCCTGCACCGGGATCCTGGAAACTCGCGGATGGATGTGCGTCGCCAACGGATGTGGAAGCGGATCTGGTGGAGCACCTATACACGTGACCGATTGATCGCCCTGGGCATGCGACGGCCCATGCGTGTTAAGGATGACGATTGTGATGTGCCCATGCTGAGTCTCGATGACTTTGAATTCCGTCCTTTCTCCCCCGAGATCGTGGCTATCGTTGGCAACTCGGAGATTCTCCAGAATGTCAGCCATCAACGCGAGCTCGCGTTGATGTTCATCGAGAAAGCCAAGCTCTGTCTCTGCGTCAGCCATGTATTATCTGCCCAGTACTCAGTCCTCAGCCATAAGTTCGGCGGCACCATGGAGACCACAATGATGCTCGTCCCGAAGAAATCCACCGCGGAGACCTTCGAGGTACGAAGTTGTGACCAGGAATTAGAGGACTGGCTGGCCAACCTCCCTATCGAAACCCAATATGTAACCTCTAATGGATCGAAGCTATCCGAGGCAGACGAAGTACTTCACTCCCACCGCGCCTTGCTGAAGATGGTCTACCTCACTACGTCTAGCGCGCTGCACCGCCCACAAGTCCTCCCCGCCATCCCTTACCCTTCCACCGACGCCGAACTCCAAGATATGTCCCGAAACAAGGTGCGATTCGCCGCAGTCGAGATCACTGCCATCGCCCAGGACCTGCATTGCCTCGACTTGACCCGGTACTACCCCACTACCGGCGTCACAGTCCTCCTACCAGCCGTCATCATCCATCTCCTCGACATCAAGTCCACTGACCCAAGCATCCGCATGACAAGCCTCCATCGCTTCTATCAATGCATGCGCATCCTCCAGCGACTGCGCGAGATCTATGCCTCCGCAGACTTCGCCACTTCTTTCCTCGAAGCTGCAATCCGCAAAGCCGGCATCCAGCTCACCGTCTCCCCCCAAGACGTCCAGTCTTCGTCTGCCTCATCACATCCCCGCGACCAACCTACCACACCCGCAGACCCCTTTGACTCTACCACCACCCCCTCTCGCCTGCACACCCTGACACCCCCGCCGGATTCCCTCGCCCAGAAGATCCCGGACCTTACATACCCCAAACTCTCCGGTCCTGCCGCGGGTGGACTGTCTACCGGGGACCTGTTCGCTTCGACGCCGCCGCACTCCGATGGAAGCGAAAACGGGAGCACCAATAACCTCAATCCAAATGCCAACCGCAACAAGGATCGCGATGCCTTTGTTATGCCCTCTGAAATGAGTCTTACCGAACTCATGGATCTGGCAAATGATGCCGAGGTTACCCAAAATGACTTCGACGCCCTCATTAACTTTGACGATCCGGGCAATGCCGATTTCTTTACTGATGACAATGCCCAACAAAGCGGCGCCCCAGATCAGGAGAAGGGCTTTGGTTTTGACGTTGATAATGTGAAC